GTTTAAGTGTGTGCTTAAAAATTAAGTACAGTTCAATTTACACTTCTCCCAGGAGGTAAGGAAAGAGTATTTAAAAAACATAAAAAGTCCTTATTTCTTCCATCCCTGTGATGGCCCATAGTAAATCTTCATGCCTTAGAAGGATGGGAAACTATYSGTGAAGCCAGTGATTGCAAGGCTAACTGGCTGGGCAAATACAGAGGACTTAAAAATATAATTATCGACCCACAAAAATTTGTGGTGAAAAGTTATTTTTAAGGAAGAGGGAAATGATGCACATTTAAATATTTTTCCACAAATGCTTTAAAAACCAACTTCAGGATCTGCTTCTAAACCCATCATAAAGAACAGTRTTGTTTGGCATGGGACTTTGTGAGAAGAGGTTAGTGTGATGGGCAGTTTTAAGTTATTTCCATATTATGTTGTAAAACAAGGTGTTGAGAATAAGACACGTGAGAAAAACAAGCAAAAATGAAATATTCATCTGTTTCCAGAAAAGCTCTAGAAGGATAGTTACTTCTTCAGTTTTAATGAAGATCTCTTTTCCTATTTCTGCCAGGGAACAGATTTCCTAGCATCCTGGCTAGAAGCAGTAATTAGACTTCTTCCTTGAGWTAACTTTCTGCTGTGAGAGAAGGCAGTAAGTCTCAAATTAATTGACCAGAGGAACCCAYGGCCCCTTCTGTGGCTTGTCACAAGGAACCAACCTTCATTCCCTATTTTGAGGATCCCATTCATGAGAATAAGCCATTTAAAGCAGTTTCCGAGAGCTGAAGGCAGTTTCCACAGCATATATACTGATGATTTAAAAATACATCTGGATTTATGTTGTGTTTTGGTATAGATAAAGTTTAAACAATTAGTCATTTTAAAAAAGACTTTTAAGAGTTGGATATAGAAATTAATTYGATTGTACAGTATGTATCATTTTAGATAAAAAGTCAGTTATAAAACTGAAAGAAAAATATTTTTATAGTAGATACCCAGAAGTCTGACTAAATTGCATTATAAAGTAATATTGCATTAAAAACATCTTTTACTGGGGCTGTGGCTGTGGCTCAGTAGTAGGGTGCTTGCCTTGTATTATGAGGCACTGGGTTTGATCCCCAGCACCATATAAAAGTAAATAAAGATATTGTGTCTCCATCTACAACTAAAAAAAATTTTTTTAAAAAACATCTTTTACTAAACACTTTAAAATATAAAACTATTGAATGACATCCTTTAGCAAGTTAAAAACCTCAGTAATGCTTCCATCCAGAAAACAGTATATGAAGGGAAAGAGTGTAAACTATTCAATAGATGAATGTGTGAAACAGGTCATGGGTAAAGGGGATGCCTCTGTAATAATTAAGGTCCAGATATATGCAACAAGATGACAAAAAMTTAAGGGGGAGAAAATTAAAAAGAAGTACCATATTGCCGGACATCCACGCAGATCTGCTCCACACCCGCAGTCCCGTTGGTCTGCGGTGACTTGATGACTTCACAAGTTGACCATATGTTATAGAACATAAACACAGGCACTGCCGAGAAACCAAACACGCCCAGCCAGGCCACTCCAAGCACATAGGTGAGGAAAACAAACTAGGCCAAAAACAAGAGGAAGGAGAAAGAATCATCCTTTGCACCAGCGGGTCATCTCCCAGAGGAAGGACTGTGCAGTTCTTCTCTACTGGGCCCACCCAGTACAGAAGCCACGGATGCAGGATGCATTCTGGGAACTACACCCTGCTGTGGCAGCTAGAAGAAATGGCCAAGGTAGGGGAGCAGGGGAAGCTGGAGCTGACCATTCCCCTACATACAGGATTTGAATGGTAATCCCCAGAGCCACCTTGGGGACTTTTTCAGGTCTCTGTCTTAACCCCAAGAGGTGACCTTACTTATTCAAGGTCACAGAACTAATTAGTGACAGAGCCTCCCATGAGGCACTCTTTGTGAATTTGATAAGATACMCATTTTCCTCTAGTTTTCTAAGATTCACAGCAACTTTACAAGCAAAGCAATTGGTTTAGGAAAAAAGYTTCATGGTCCTCACCCACAAGTCACCATGGGCAATTCCAGGAAGAGGGTAATTGCAGTACTCAACTTTCATAACYTGTCTTGACTACCAATTTTCAGACAGCTTTGAAAGGCTGCCTCAAACATCTTATGGTATTTCTATTCGCAGAATGTGCACCCAGAGGGTGTGTGGGCAGGTTCGAGTTCTACTTTGACTTATTTTTTAAGCTCAAGGTGAGACCTGAGGATTCTACCTAACTTTTTATACTGCAGGGAACACCTGGAAAGTGAGAGGCTGGCCTGGGGGTCAGGCTCAAAGGGGCTACCTCCAGTTGGTCAGCCTGGTAAACTGCAGAAACAAGGCCTTTTTTCAGTATAGTTCCAGAAACATTTGCATTTCTAAAAATACTCAAAGAAGATTTCAGCAGTTTCATCTTCCTCCCCAGTGCCTRGGATCTGGCTGCTTCAGACTAAGGTTTCTTTTTCTTTCCCCTTCAAAAGAAAACTTTACAATCTTTCTAATAACACCACAAGGACTCAAAGGGGACTGTTGATTCTTGGTCTTGGTGAGTCTTTCCTTCTGGAGGAGGTCAGGGCTCCAGAGAGAAGGCCAGTGCCCTGCTGGGAGCTGTTCCTGTCACAGTGGCCTCCAGCATTCAGAGCTGCTTCCTCAGTGAGCTATTGGGATAGCCTCCCACAGAGACTGAGGAGAGCAARGCCTTCTTGAACAGGGTCAGAGCTCATTTGTCTCCCCAACCTCATACAACTTTCTGACCTCAGCCTGTTGCTTCAGTGCCTGTTACCAGCCCTATCTGTATTGTGAGCCTAACCTTAAAAAGCCAAAGTGTGCCAGACACACACCTGTAATCCCAGCAACTTCTGAGGCTGAAGCAGGAGGATCGCAAGTTCAAAGCCAGCCTCAGCATGTTAGTGAGGCCCTAAAGCAACTTAGCAAGACCCTGTCTCAAAAAATAAATAAATAAACAAAAAGGGCTGGGGRTATGGCTCTGTGATTAAGCACCCCTGGGTTCAATCACCGGTACCAAAAATAAAAAACAAAAAGTGTCACAAGAATCCCATTTGGGAGTAGAGATGCTCRGATCAACAAAGGACTAAACAGTCAGCAGATGAGTGGTTCATCCCTGCAGGAACACRGTTTTCAGAAATACTTCTGAATGACACTCCCTGTGGAGACGGACTTGTCCTTGCAAGTGCTGTAATTCTTGTTCAAGCATTTTCACACAGGAGATTAGGCAAACAGATCCAAAAGAGGCCCAGCAGAGCCATTCTGAGGTCTCACAAATGGTGTCACTCAGGACAAAATTACAGGTTGGCATGTAGCCCCAGGCAGCTTAGGTTGTATGCTCCGCTCCCTGTGGGGCCTATTTCTCATAGAAGGGGCAGGTCTGGGTGAAAGGCAGATTGTGGAGTTAGTCCCTGACCTGTGGGTGTGAGGGAACCACAGAGACAGGCAGGACTGGGAGGGGCTGCATCTTTAGTCTCCAGCAGTAAACTTGATGTTCACAGCCTTATCTTACTTGTGCTATGGGATATTAAGGACTTGGCAGGGTCCCTGCTGGAGGACAGTGGTACAGGAGAGAGCAGCAGCCTGAAGCAAAGTAGCTCAAGATGGCAGAAGGCAACCTGCCTAAGTTTGGAGCCTAGGCAGAAAACCAGCAGGTCTGGCCAAAGCACAGGGACCTATGTGTAGATTGAAGCAATGTGATAGGCTGCCTAGGCTTTTCCAGAGATCCTGGCCCAAGTGCCATTTGCCACAACTTTTGAGACGTTGGCTCAAACTTTTAAAGGGGGCATTTAAAGGAAGAATGATATTCTGATAGKACATAAGGTTACATTAAATTATCTGGACCCTTTGGGAGCATCACCTTGGCCAGGGCCTTCCTTCTTGAACTCAAGATAATACTTACCTCTCTGGCCATTCTTCCTTAGTTCCCTGCCAGGGCTCCTTCTCCTTAGCCTAGCCAGTAGACAACATTGTGCCCCAGCACTGTCCCCCTCCACAAACCTCCTTGATGTCAACTTGTTCATGGYGACCAACTCTTGGTCACCCTGGCCTAAAGCATTCTCAGAAATCCCATCCTAACCTTCTACATGACGTATTAGGTAACTCCACCTGTTTCCTGGTGGTTACACCAAGCCCTAATGTGTCATGTTGAATCTACTTTCCCCATCTCTAATGACACACACAGCCAGAGATTGGGCACTCATTACCTCCTCTCCTCCTCACTTCTCCGACCAAGCCCAGAGCCCACCTCCCCTGTCTTTGCATCTGCCCGTTCACCATCCTACTTCCTGAGCCAATTTCACATCTCTACAGTGCCTCGGCCCTCTTGCTTACCTTCCTCTCTCAAATCTACCCTCCACAGGGAGATTGGTGATCTATGCATAACCCTCCCTCTCCCATGTCTTTGTCAATTTCATTCCTATCCTTGAATTTCACTCAAGGYCCTTCCTCATCTGATCCCTGGCCCTCCCAAGCAGTATTATTTYCCTCCTCCTCCAACAGACCCTTCCCTTCCAGCCTGGTCACAGGACTGGCTCCCTGGAGCCCCATCTGTTTTCTGGACCTCCCTGTCCTGTTCATGCTGGTTCCTCTTCCCCCATTTCTCGTGTACGGTGTCAATTTCCTCTGCTTTGGCTGGTGCAAAGCCCTCCCCGAATCTGCACTGAAACTTAAGGTATTCTGCGTCCCAGACCCAACACACCCCTCATGCCCGTGCTACTGGATCACAGAGAATTCCACCCCAACTAGTGTGCCTCCCACAGGAGGACTATTACCAACAGTGGGCTCTCCCAGGCTTTAAGCCAGACCCATGACAGTGGCACCCTCAGTCAGTGCTCCCCCTACCAGGGAACTTCTCACCCTGTGGTGACAGCAGGTATTTCCCTTAGGGGAGGCTGAACACTGAGACTGACATTTATTCCTTCGCATTAGTGCTTCTCTTGATTYCCAAAATGCTCTTACACCTGACTGTTCTTTCAAATGCCACAAACATAGCCAACTGCCTGTGAGACATTTTGACATAAGCACGCCATTATAAACTCAAATATAAATATTTTATCTTCAAAAAAATGCAATTTAGCGTGTCAAAAATGAAACCCAATACTGGCTTCTTCCCTCCCAGCCCCCCTACCACCACCAGGTTACCTTTTGTGATGTGACACTTTCTAACCTTGTCTTTCCATTATTATTTTTTTAAGATTTGTCCTCTAGATCAAAGGGTATAAAAAGTCAGATAGGAAACGGTCTAGATTTGGGGGGCCTCATACAGTCTCCATTACAGCTACTTGGCTCTGCCACTGTGTAACAGGAAAGCAGCCAAAAGCCAAAAGCAAACAAAACATGGTTATGTGCCAATAAAACTACATTCACCAAAACTTGAATTTGWGTAATTTTCACATATCATGAAATAAAGATATAAACATTTTTCTCAGCTTGAACCATATAAAAACAGGCAGTAGGCCTCATATGGCCCACAGGTCATTCTTGGCTAACCCCCTCCTTTCCCTGTACCCCTTTAGATYATAAATAAACTCCTTGAGGAAGAACCTGTTTTAACCTTTGTACTTCCCAGTGACTAGAGAAGTACAGCTAGGTGCTTGGTACAGTCTGTTCTGATAAATATTAATAGAAGGATCGTGACATTTATCATAGAACATGTCTTCTTTTTGTATTAGGGATTGAAATCTGAGGCACTCTACCAGTGGGGCTATATCCCCAGCCCTTTACATTTTTTATCTTGAGATAGTATAAGTTGCTCAGGGCCTTACTAAGTTGCTGAGACCGACCTCAAACTTGTGATCCTCTTGCCTCAGCCTCCTGAGTCATTGGGATTATAGGCGTGAACCACCACACACAGAAAACATGTATGTCTTTAGGGCCTCTAGTCATATTCAAAGACAAAAGGGAACCTTGGCYGATCTGAAAGTTATCTCCTCCTATAGTGGAAACACCACATGAATCTTCAGTACCCTTATCTGCATGTTCATAAAGGAAACATTTTACCATTACCAGCCATAAATTTTCATTTATCACCAATGACATGTTGAAGGTTTTCATGTTCCTGACTCTACATTGGAAGAACAATATTTGTGTCACAAACCCCCAACCACTCTCAGATAGCTGGTCAATTTTGCCAGAATRGCAAGGTTCACACTCACCATTCCACTGATGCATCGGCCACAGGCGGTGGTTTTAAACTCCCCGTGTAGTTCTTTCACTGCACTGGTGGTGTAAAAGCCTTCTGCCAACAGAATGATGCCATACAAGAAGAAAAAGGATGCGATTCCATAGATGACATACTGCATCAGTTGTATCCTAGGAAAAGAAGAGATCTTGAAACATTTAGTTCACTCTCAACTAGAAATTTTGTTTCTTGATTCTGAAGAGAGGACATGAGGTGAAGTWGCCTCCTTTGGCCCTAGCAGCCTCGTTGGGCATCTTGGGCAAGCACTTCCGCCCACCCTCATCAACCTGGGCCTGCCTGCCTTCCATAATGGGCTTATAGGTGAGGCATGGGAGAAATTTCGTTTGGTCAGGAGCAGGGCCCACTCAGAATCTCTGACTGCTTTCCAAGTCCCACGCTGTGATTGATTAATTTTGAACTTAACCATAGGCATTAAAGAGTTAAGTTACTTACCTGAGGATACACATGACAGGGCCCGCATTTGAACCCAGGCTCAATGGACAGCATGTTCCTTCCACCATCTCAAAATGCTTCCTACCCAGACCTAGTTACTCATAAAACTCAGCACTCGAGGCCTCTTTTTATTTTTTTTTAATATTTTTTAGTTGTCCATGGACCTTTATTTATTTATTTATATGYGGTGCTGAGAATCAAACCCAGTGCCTCACACTTGCTAGGCAAGCGCTCTACCACTGAGCCACAACCCCAGCCCTTTTTTTTTTTATTACTGAAATACTTGGTATACGAGTGATAGTACGTCGAGTGGACTTAAGTTACAGAAAGTTAATTCACTACTAAGCTTGTCCTGTGAAAATTGAGAGACTGGAATGACAGTTCCTCAGCTTTGGCCACCATTGTAATCACCTGAGGAGCTTTAGAAAATTTAGATTTAGATCACATCCCTAGAGATGATGACTTGATTGGTCTGTTGAGGCATTGGGCATTTTTTAAAGCTCAGAAGTTTGAGAATCATGGATTSAGATCACTGGCAAATTAAATCAATACACATTTCCCAGGTTCAGTCTGGGCAAATATTTCTTCTCTGCACAATAGTACACAATGAGCCCCTTGTCCTGTTTGATCCCTCCTTATGACCCACCCCACTCCTGCTCATTTCTTGGGAGGACATTCATCAACACATAATTCCCTAAGAACTCTTCCAAAATGGTTTCTTTATTCTACAAAAATTTAGCCATCCCTTTTTTCATTCTGCTGGACAGGTTTCTTACAAGACAAACACTGAAACTTTGGAATTAAAGGAAAGAAAACAAAAATGCTAAATGAATGGGAAAGGCAGAATGTATTTCAAGGTAACATGTATATTGCTGCTGAGCTTGACAGTTATGAGAGTCTATGCTTGGGAGTTATTAAGACTCCATTGAAAATTATTCCAGAACAGGAAGGCAGAGATTTGGGGCTAAATCCTTGGCATATCTCCTTTTCTGCATTGGAGGATGCCCTGGGATTTATTCTTATACCAGAATAATTAACATTAAAATGTTACTCCTGTGGACTTAGAGTTGGGGTTAGTCCTCAGTGGAGCTCCTATCATTCCAAAGATGGCAGTCATCTATGACAAAACCAGATGGTATCTGTTACCTAGGAACAATGTCAACTCTGATAAGATGATCAGCAGCACCAACCTGTCACTTTGTTACAGTGCCCTGTATCCATTGCTGTGTAGAATTCCCTGTGTGCTTACCTTGCTGTTTCCAGGTGAGATCCCACCCTGGGGCCCATATGCCCCCCTTCCATGGACTTTATTCTATCTGCCTATAGTAAACTTGAATTTAAAAAGCATCAGTTTTCTTTCAGAAGAGTATGTGGTRTCTTCCAGAAAACATGTTGAGGTAGTTACATCTCACATACATTTTGCAAGGGAAGCAGACACTTACACTTCACTCAGCAAGGCATGGTCACTGGTGTTGGTGGAGAAGTGTTGCTCCAGAATGGCCACCGTGCCAGCAAGAGCCACATGCCCGCAGCCGCAGAACAAGGCGACTCCAGAGAAGCACAGGATGGTGGCCACCAGGGAGGCATAGGGGACTCCTCCCAGACACTTGATGCAGCATTYGAAGCAGCCTGGACCCAAAGGAGAGAAAGGGAGCTGTGATAGGCAGGGACACCTCTGGTCTTCCAGACCACCACCGATTAGCACTCAAGTTTCTACTCTTCCATCTCCCTCAGGCTCTACAGCTAACATCTCAACATCCCAAGGACCAGAAAAGAGGTTCCCATGGTCTCACATTCTYTGGGTGAAGACCCCAAGGCTCCAAGTGGAAACAGAACTTGATTTGTTYGGAGTCTAGAAGGGTAGTGAGTGGCAGAGCAGTTAGCTGATCAACAATCACAATTCTAGAGATTTCTGACTCATTGGGGTTGGAAGGACCCTGCCCAAGTGGCAATGAGGAGCACTTATTCCACTAACAAAACCAAGGAGAACAGCAGTGAAGTCACAGCTCTGGGGAAAAAGTGACAGTTTTTTTTTCAAAACTGCCTTTTGGGGTTTCAAGTACACAGATTGTTGTAGTAGCCAATGGCCTTCCCTAAGCCCTTGACCCCTTGGGAAGCTGGAAGAAGCCCATACAGAAATTATATTGYCACCAGGTTTGGAATAATATCAACAGGATTATTTTGGGAAAGTCATAGGTATTTGGATACCTAGTTCACTGAAGTAGAAAGTCACCAAGATCCACTCAAGGGGGTCAAATTTCGTTCAAGTTGGAATCAGAAATTACCCCAACTTTAAAAAAAAAAAGTGCTCCCCACCCCAGCTCGCACAAGCAACTCATTCACAATCCTCCTCCCCCTCCCCCAGCTTCCATCTGCCCCTTCCTTGACACACATTCAGAGTCAAAACCCAGAACTGGTGGGTGATAGTACTTGAAGGGGGAAAAGGAACAGAAGGAGGGGGAGGAGAAAAAAAAAAAAAAAAAAGACAAAATGAGCATCCATGAAGTGAAATGAATGAGATAGAGCCAAACTTCACTCTTAATATGGAGAAGATGAGACTCTTGCTCAAGATGTCCATAAAGGCCTCTCTGATAGGCAGAAAGGTAACATTTTCAGTTTGGAGACATTTATGTATTTTCAATACAGCAGTGTTGGCCTCCCGATAATGTCAGGATCTCTCCTGATGGCCCATCCCTATTTATATTAGCCAAACCCTTAAGTAAATGGCTTGTGGGGGAAATGGAACTTTAAACACATTATTATGTTTAAGAGCAATCAAGCTATTTCATTACTCAGGACAAGCCAGTTAAATTTTCTTCCCCCAAATGGTCTTCATAGTATCCAGGAAATGAAAACCCTGTGCGTGCAACACACCAGAGAGGAACTTTTCTGTGTAGATAAGCATCYCATCTGAAACTACTATCTGCTGAAACCCAACATGGAAAGTGACTATAGACCTTTCTCTTTAGTTCATTGGGGGGCAGGGGTGGGGAGTCAGGACATCATGAGAATTTTGTGTTTCCTTCTATTTCAAAAGATGATCAGCAATTTTCAAGAAGACCAATCTCTCTATAGATCGATGAAACCTTGTTAAAGTGGGGAGCAGTACACAGTATKGTTCAGGTTCACTAGCAAGTCAGTACCTTAAAGAGTTTTAGGCATTTCAGATTTGTAAACAGTAATAGGAGCTTCATATAGGATTCATATAGGATTGTCATATGACTTTCTGGGATCTGGGGTGAGAAGAATGCAACTAAAGTCCAAATTCTTTCCATGCTTCAAAACCAAGAAAAACCAACATCCTTAGCCTTGATGTACCCCATTATGTAAAGAGAAAAAATCCCTGTGTGTCATCATTCACACTCTCCCCCCATTCTCAGTCTCTGATGATAAGAACAAGATGAATGCCTGCCTGCTGGCTAGCCCAGTTGTATCTGGTCCTTCTTGGACAGAGATATGTGGCCTTGGGATGGTACTGTTCAATAAGGTAGCCACTTGCACATGACTATTTTAAATTAAATAAARTGAAATATTCAGGTCCTTGGTTGCACTAGCCATGTTTCATGTGTACAGTAGCCACTTATGCTAGTGGCTCCCATGACRGACAATGCAGATACAAAACAATTGTTTCGTCATCACAGAATGCTGCTTTAAAAGACACATTTTAGAGCCAGGCACRGTGAAGCACGCCTGTAATCCCAGTGGCTTGGGAGGCTGAGGCAGGAGGTTCTCAAGTTCAAAGCCAGKCTCAGCAACAGCAAGCAACTCAGTGAGATCCTGTCTCTCTATAAAATACAAAATAGGGCTGGGGATGTGGCTCAGTGGTTGAGTACCCCTGAGTTCAATTCTCAATACCAAAAAAAAAAAAAAAAAAAAAAAGACACATTTTGATTTGGCATATATTCAATTTTCTATAACATAAATTGGATCATAACCAGGTTTTACTTTGGATTTCATTACTTGAGTACTTTTGAAGACCTACTGGGTGGGTGCCAAATGCTGCTTAGCACCAAGGGATACACATCTGAAATAAGATGTCTTTGCCTTCAAGATCAATCTAATGCRGTCAGCAGACAAGGAACAAATTCATAGTATATAGCATGATTAATGATGACCAGGATACAGACCACTGGAGAGTCAGGGGAGGAGAGAAAAGGACAGAAGCAAATAACTCACACTGGAGGAGGAAGGAGGAAAGGCTTTCTATTGAAACATATATATGCAAAATACTTAAATGACTAATGTGACGGTGACATGTTACCTGACAAACATCCATTAATTTTTGGATATTTTTGATGTAAATATATTTTTAATAAACCCACWTCCTCTCTCATCATTCAGTTAGGGTTAGGTGTGCTGGTGTAGCACATTGGCCCTTTAACAACAGAACTCATCCTTCCATATCCACAGTTGCCACTTCAAAAGGCTCTCTCATCCAAAGGGTTAGAACGTTCTGCTTTGTTCAAAGGAAACATCACAGCTGCTCCCAGGTTCAAAAAGATGAGTGGGGTTAGAAGAACACTGCTGTCCAGTCCCAAATTCAACAGTAGATCAAGGCTAAAGTTTCCCTGCAATTTATTTCTCCCAGGGACTCCATATACCCCGTGCTGTGGATCTAGTTTGGTAACAGCAGGGGAATTCAGGGATTCAAGAAGTTGGGGAATCACTTTAAMGAATCACACTGTCTCAGCAGATGCCAACTTCCTTATGTTTTCAAAGATGATTTCATTTGTGGCTGGAGGAACCCTTACCTCTACAAAACTGAAATCACCATATTGGTCATCTTTAATCCACATGCATAGATAAAACTCTTACAGACCCTGCCAGCTAGTGTGTCTAGAAGCTGGTAGCACACAGTATGGGAAAACTTGATAGGAAATAACACTGCTGGGGAATATTGTGGAGAAAATGGAACTGTAAATGCATTATGATGTTTAACAGCAATTAAGAACTTGCTGTAGAATAAACTCTACAAGAGCTTGTTCTAGGTTGGTGGGCCAGATCAAAAATTATCTGGGGGACAGGGTTGTAGCTCAGCGGTAGAGCGCTCRYCTAGCACGTGAAAGGCCTTGGGTTCGATCCTCAGCACCACAGAAAAATAAATRAAGGTATWGTGTCCAACTACAACTAAAAATAAATATTTAAAAAAATTATCTGGGTGGTGGATATCCAACCACTGATAAATGATTGCTCCCCACTACATCTTCTGTGCTAGTCTAGATGCCACCTGTATCAACAGTGGGCAAGATATCACCAAACACTGGGCATGGTACACACTCATCCCAAAACTGCCTCAAAAAGTAAGAAAAAGCAAAATATTTTCTTAGACTGGATTCTACAATATTAGGGCCTTCACATTAAACAGCATTTMAGTTGAAATATAGGTAGGTATGTGTACAGCAGAGGTAGTGGCTGCAATGGCTCCCTCTACTGTCTTGTGGGGCCACATGCTTGGCCTAATGCTCTGCTACAGCCACCTTGAAATTCTTAATTTTTGAATAAGAGCATAT